TTTTGGTCTTTTTCAGACAGGTTCCAGCTGTCCTGGAACTCACTATGTAGACCAGGCTGGCCTTGAACTCACAGAGATCCGCCTGCCTCTGCCTCTGCCTCTTGAGTGCTGGGACCAAAGACGTGCACCACCACACCCGGCTAACATTTATTTTTATGCACATAAGATTAGCACTGCCTTCAACCTCGGCCAGAGAAGTTTCTCTCTACAGTGGTAAACAGTTAAGGCAAAGCGCTCAACCATAAATGGGACATCTCAATCAATCCCCTCTCTCCTAAGGCTCAGGGAACATCATGGAAGAAGGCAGAAAGAATCAATATTCCAACAGGCAGCACTAACGGACTCGGTTACAAACAGCAACAAAAAGATGACATAAAGAGGGAAAGGGAACCTATTGGAGGTGCTTCAGGGAAATGAGGCAGGGAGTTGGGGGTTGATATAATCAAGATACATTATTTACATGTATGAAACTGTCCAAGAATAAAAGATAGTCTATTAAAAATTCTTTAAAAATAAGGTAGAGAATGATTAAGACACCTGATGTCAACCTCTGGCCTCCACACAGCCTCCACAGAAGTACAAATGAACGCACAACACACATTTCATACACCATAATCACACATCTCCCACACAAAAAGGTCTCATGGACTTCAGCTAAGCAAAATTTAAAAACAAAAAACTATTAGCCAAAGGGCATGAATTTGGCTTTAAAAGGCTGTTTTGAAGGGCTGGAGAGATGGCTCAGCAGTTAAGAGCTCTGACTGCTCTTGCAGAGGACTTGGGTTTGCTTCCCAGCACCCACATGGTGGCCACGAACCGTCCTTAACTCCAGTTCCAGGGGAATCTGAAGCCCTCCTGATCCCCGCAGCACTGCTTAACACGGGTACACTCACATACATACAGGCAATATACTCATACACATAAAATAAAAATAAAATTAAAAAAAAAAAAGGCTGTTTTGAGGCCAGGTGTGGTGGCACACACTGCACTGAGGAGATTAAGGTAGGAGGATCAGGAGTATAAGGTTAGTTGGACTACAAGAAACCCTGTCTCCAAAAAAAGGGAGTGGGGGTGGGCTCATCAGGTAAAAGGCACTTGCTATGCAAGCCAGGTGACCTGAGGTCAATCTCCTGAATTCATGTGAAGGTAGAAGGAGAGCACTGACTCCAGGAAACTGCCTTTTGATCTCCCCCATGCATGCTGTGGCACTGCATCCACATATGCACATTGTGGATGTATGCATACACATATAACAAATTTTTTAAGAAAGACTCAGTGTCTTTCTCTTCTGTTAATTTTTTATATTTGAATCCCTGGCCTCAGGTGATCCTCCCACCTGATTCTCCCAAGTGCCTTAGAGGCAAGCATCAATCATAACCGCTAGCCTTTTTAAAAAAGACTTATCTTTTGGGGCTGGAGAGATGGCTCAGCGGTTAAGAGCACTGACTGCTCTTGCAGAGGACCCAGGTTCGATTCCCAGCACCCACATGGCAGCTACAAACCGTCCTTAACTACAGTTCCAAGGGAATCCGATGCCCTCTTCTGACTTCCTCGGTACTGCATGACATGGGTGCACTCACATACATGCAGGCAATACACTCATATACATAAAAATAATAAACTATATTTAAATAAAAAGATTTATCTTTAATTATGTTTGAGGGGGTATGTGAACCCAGGTAGGTGCAGGTGCCTGTGGATCCTTTGAAGTCACAGGCAGTTGAGCACCACCTGACACGGGTGCTAGGAACCTAACCCTGGGACCAACTGGAACAGGAGTAAGCGCTCTTAACCACTGAGTCATCGCTCCAGCTCCCAACCACTAGCTTTTCATAAACGGTTAATAATACATATCTGATCCATGAATTTCAGGCTTAGGTGTGGCATGTAAGATTCATTAAAACAAAGTACATCCAGTCAGGATCCAATTTAACTAGCATTCTGATCAAACAGCAACATGTATGGTGCAAAGGACAAAAGACAATAGGTGGAGAGTGAGGTAAAGTAAAACAAACCAAGCAAAGATACAAAAGTGTACGTAGAAATAGCTGCTGGGGAATAAACGGGCAGCCTAGTAGAGCTAGGGACAGTCAGAAAAGCACATTTGGTATCAGAAAAGATACATGTAAATAAAATTTAGATTTTATGGATAGCAGGGAGCCACTGTGGTATACTTTTCCTTCCTTAAGAGGAGGGTCAAACCAATAACTCAGACTTTTTCAAAGTGTGTTAAGCATGTTTACAAAGCAAGGTTTTGTTTTGTTTTGTTTTGTTTCCGTCTTTTTGAGACAGGGTCTCCCTGTCATGTTTACAAAGCAAGGCTTTTTGTTTTTTTTTTTTCCCCATCTTGAGACAGGGTCTCCCTGTAGGCCCAGCTGTCCTGGAACTCACTATGTAGACTAAGCTGGCCTTGAATTCACAGAGATCTGCCTGCCTCTGCCTCCTGAGTGCTGGGCTCAAAGGCATGCACCACCATGCTTGACAACAAAGTAAGTTTTAATGAAGGCCTGAAATTAATTCTACAATACAGTCTCACAAATTAGGTATTTTACTTAGACATATTACCAATCTCATTATAGTGTGTCCTGAGAGTTTCTCCAATACTGTCATTGGAATTAGGATTATAGTTGATAGTACATGCAGAAATCTACCAGGACCTTCAAGTTTTGCCAAATTTTGGTGTCTTGATCTTTGTTACACAGATTATTATTTACAATCACTTTCTCTGAGCGTTGCAGATTTTTTTTGGTCTTTTTCAGACAGGGTCTCCCTGTAGCCCCAGCTGTCCTGCAACTCACTATGTAGACCAGGCTGGTCTTGAACTCAGAGATCCGCCTGCCTCTGCCTCCCAAGTGCTGGGATTAAAGGTGTGCGCCACCAAGCCTGGCCCAGCAGTTTTAAAAATTAATTTATTATTGTGTGTGATATGTGTGGGGGGGCATTCAGGTGCCGTGTGTGTGTGTAACCCAGAAGACAACTTTGTGGAGTCAGTTCTCTCTTTCCATCTTTGCAGGTGCCAGTGCGTGTGTGCGCACGCTCCTGTGGCAAATGCTTTCACTCACTGAGCCACCTAGCCATGCCCCTTCTCTGCCTTTTTAAAATCCACTAAATTCAGCAGTTAATCTTTACACTCCTAAACTGTCACCACTTTGTACTGCTTTCAGTAGGTATCTTTAATTTAGTAGCTTTTAATCTTCAAAGTTTAGAGCAAATACCTCACTAGTAAACATATGAAGTCATCTCACTCTGAAATATCTAAATTAACCCTCAATTCTTTTTAGAGGATTGTTTAGAAATAAACCTTTTAAAGTATCTAGTTAATGTTTCAAACTTTGTATTATTTAAATAAATCTAATAAAACTCATTACAACAAATTAAATAATGCATTTTTATTGGGAAAGAGAAGGGAGATAAGTGTCTTTCGTTTGTTTTTAAAGACAGTTTGTAAACCAGTTTGGCCTAGAATACATGGTCCCATTTCCTCAGGAGATTACAAGTGTGCATCCCTCCTGCCCAGCTCCACTTACAGTTCTTTAAAATATATGTTAAGCCAGTATATTACCAAAAAAAAAATCTGAACCTGATTGCTGGGGGTGGTGGCACATGACTTTAATCATGGCACTGGGGAGGCAGAGGCAGAGGCAGGTGGATCTCTGTGACAGAGGCCAGCTGGGGCTACAGGGAGACCCTGTCTCAAGAAAAAAGAAAAAAAAAAAGCTGAAACTGAACTAATTAAGGTAAGTAGCACTCCACCTTGATTGAAACTGATTGGGGGGAGGTGATAATACAAATCTCCTCAAATATGTCCTCTCTTGAAGCCAATGCACCTTCTCTTCCCTTTGTAATTATAGTAAAAATAAGTGCTACTTCAAGCTTGGCATCAGATTATCAATATATACTTCTGAGATTTCAGCCAAGTATTTTCAGTTCATTTTAGGGCTTATTCCAAAGACTGCAGACCAGTTCTTAACTTGAAACTGAAGAGAACTACAGAGGTTCCAAAAACCTTAAATGGTGTGCAAACTTGTTACATGCATTTTCGAGGGAGGAGGAGGGGACCACGGCTGTCTTCAGTCTCAAAGAAATCTATGATTTAAAAAAAAAAGAAAAAAAAAAGTCGTTAAGCCGGGCGTAGTGCCGTAGGCCTTTAATCCCTGCACTAGGGAGGCAGAGGCAGGCGGATCTCTGTGGGCTCAAGGCCAGCCTGGTCTACATAGTGAGTTCCAGGACAGCTGGGGCTACAGGGAGACCCTGTCTCAAAAGACCAAAAAAAAAAAGTCGTTAAAAATAACTTTATTAGTATTACAGGCAGCTAAAGCGACAAAGGAGGAAAAGGGGTGTATTTGAACTATGCAACTACCGTTAAATGTCTAAATAAAATGCATCTTTTCATCCAGTGACCCAGATCCTTACATTAAGTCTTCCAATCCTTTTGCCTCCTGGTTAAGAATGAAGGAATGGGGTTCAATTCCCCCCACCGCCCAAAACTCAATCTACGCGACCGATCCCGTTCTTAACCTTTCTCTGCAACGGGTCAAGTTCCGCCCCCGCGAAGGGCAGGAGCTCGCGTACCTGGGCGCTGGCTCGATTAAGGTGGTGGTATCCAGGTAGTGGATCTTGTAGAACTCCAGCAAGGCCGGCAAATGGTCAAACTCCTGGTCCCCGATCTTAAAGCGGCGGTTGGGCAGGGAGTTGATGATGTAGTGGGAGACACGCGAGTTCTCGGACACCGACAGCACATAGTCCCCAGGGCAGGTAGAGGAGTCCCGGACTAGGAACATGCCGTGGCGCTGGCCCTGGAGCCGGGTCTGCGCCTCCTGGCGAGACACTGGCCCCATGTACCAGGCAGAGCGGTCTGAAGAATCAAACCTGGCGGAGGACATGGTGCTGGGCCCGGGTTGGGCGGCGGCTGCTGCTGCTCTCGCCTCTCTGGAAACCTTTACCACTTGACGGCTTTGGGGCCGTGGAAGGGCCTCTCGGCACACCGCGAGGAACGCTTACAGGGCTGGGCCGAGACCTTCCTCTCGGGTCCGGGCCCGCAGCATCCTCCGCCACCGCCCGCCCGCCTGCACCCTGGCCGCCTCACGGAGACCGCCGGCCCGGGGAATACAGAGCAAAGCCCAGGGGTCGAAGTGGGCGAAGCGTAGCGGGAGAGGAGGCCGCCTCGGGATTCTCAGCTGCCCGGCGTATCGGGGGTGGCTCCGGTGACTCCCGGGCCTGGAACCCGCCGGCTCTGCAGCCCCACTGACCTGCACCCACCCCCGCCGTCACACGAAGCACCCTACTCCAACGAGCGCCGCGCCTCCACCGCGGTTTTACCCACCCCGTTCCAAATAGCCACAGTAACAAAATGGCGGACGCGGGAGAAGCAGCCGGGCACCTCCCCCTTAGTCCAGCGCACTCTATCCGCGCACGCGCGGGGCCCGGGTGCGACGCCACTGCCAGGACCCGCCCTCTGACGTCTCTCGGCGTAGCCAATCAGAAGTGTGTTTGTGAAGGTCCGGGCGTGAGCCGTTCCCGTAGGCTCCCGCGTTCCGGGAGGACACAGCGGAGGCGGTGGTGGCGGGCACTCCCTTCCTGGGCCGCTTAGCGCCAGCGGGGGCGCTGCGGCTGCCGGGTCTCCCCGACCTGGCAGGAAAACAGCTGGCGCCCAGAGGGAGCAGTGTTTCCGAAAACCTGCTTCTTGAAACAAAGCGTAACGTGTCGACTGAGTCTCTAGCCGAGGAGGCGTGGCCCTTCGGGGACCAAGAGGCTGCATTGAATCTGGTGGCTCGGGAAAGGGATGGGAGGTGAGGCGACCCACCAAATCGGTTACTGAATGACGTCTGCCCTGTGTGACTGGCATACGTGGAGTAGTGCTGAAGAGTAAGCGGTCTAAGACTGCAACCTGGTGATGACCTCGCCATCTCGAGCTCTGAATTGCAGCAAGTGAAAAGCAACGCTTCTTGGGTGGACACTGAAGGTTTCGCCTGCTCCACACTCTGCCTGCTTCTCCGAATTCATTTCCTGCCGTTCCCGTTGTTTAGCTCCAGCGGTGCCTTCCTAATATGTTTACTCTCTTTATTCCCATTAGAATGTAAATTTTAATATAACAGGGATACCTTCTTGTTCACCTTTGTTAGTCTGCCTTACACAATGTCTAGTCCTGAATGGATGCTCAAGTATTTATTGGATGAAGGGCTGTTGTAAAAAATTATCAGGACACTGATGGCTGATTATTGGTCATAGCATCTCTTAATTGTATGAACAGGAAAGCATGTCCTAAACCAGGTGGTAGCATGCACATGTTGTACTCACAGAACTCAGGAGGCGGAGATCAGGAGTTTGAGGCCAGCCTTGGCTACATAAGACCCTGTCTCCCCCCCCACCCCAAAAAAAGCATGTCCTGAAAGTGAAAAGACAGGAGAAACAAACCTACTTTTAACACTTTAGCAGTTGTATTAGTCAGGGTTCTCCAAAGAAACAGAACCAGTAGAATGAATATGTGTAGAGATTTATCAGTTTAGCTCACAGGATAGAGTCCGAGTAGTCCAACAATAGCTGCACCACATTGGAGAGGCTGAGAATCTGTAGTCGCTCAGTCCACAAGTCTGGATGTCTCAGTAGTCCCAATCCAGTGCTGAAGGTCTGACAAATCCCAAAATATCAGCTAGTCTTCAGTCTACAGCAGCAAGACGAACTCACCAGCGAGAGAGAAGGCAAGCTGCATGTGCTGCTGCCTTGGTCTTTTATACCGGCTGCCATCAGAAGGTAACGCCCACATTTAGGGTATGTCTTCCGACTTTAGTTGATCCAATCAAGAAGATCTTTTTCATTTCAGTTAATCTCAGATCCAATCAAGTTGACACCCAGGATTAGCCATCACAGCAGTGAAATTTCATTTTGGCCATTTGTATACCCCATGTTCAGCAAATCATAGATTGTAGGGTGATAGATGATATCCATCCCAGTGGTAAGCAAAAGAGAAAATGTCAGTCTAATGCCATTTTGTGACTCGGCATAAGCATGTTTTCACCTTCCCAAGGATTTTCATGGGACTAGGAAGATGGCTCAGAGTAAACCCTTACCAGCTGTGCTGGATAGCTTTAGTGTCAATTTGACACACCTGGGTTGAGGGAGCCTCAATTGGGGGATTGCCTCTATTGGACTGGCCTGTGGCCATGTCTGAGGGGCATCTTCTTGATGAGTGATGTGGGAGGGCCCAGCCCACTGTGGGTGGTGCCACCCCTGGGCAGGTGGGCCTGAGTTGCATAAGAAAGCAGGCTGAGCGGGGGCCAGGGGAGGAAGCCAGTAAGCAGCATTCTTCCATGGCCTGTGCTCTGCTTCCAGGTTCCTGCCCTGAGTTCCTACCTTGGCCTCCCTGATGAACTGTGACCTGGAAGATGTAAGCGGAATAAACCCTTTCCTCCCCAAGTTGGTAGTGGTCAGAGTGTTTTGCCACAGCAATGAAGAAACAAACCAGGACACCAGCCAAGACTGACACAGAGTGGAAGGAGAAAGTGAAAATAGGAAAGTTGTCCTCTTACCTCCACATGCATGGGGTGGCACACACCACATGCCTGGACACTCACACAGCATACAAACACAATAATGGAAAATAAAAGGATGTTTCTATGTTGTTTTAGTCTCAGGTGAAATTGCATAGAGCAGAATTTGAAATTGAGTTCAGATTATGGCTTAGTCAGTTGACTAGATGGGCTGATCATTCTGGGTCTCATCCTGGAACTAATAGCACTTAGCTCCTAGGTAGAAGTAAATGTACTAGCCAGCTCAGGAGGCAGAGGCAGGTGGATCACTGTGAGATCATGGCCAACCTGATCTCCATGGTGAGCTCCAGAATATCTTGGGCTACAGGGAGATCCTGTCTCAAAACAAATCAAAAGTATCAGGTATAGGTGGTGCATGCCTATAATCCCAGCTCTCTAGAAGCAGAGGCAGGAGGATTGCCACAGGTCCAAATTTGAGGCCAGTCTGGTCTACATACTGATTTCCAGGTCAGACAGGGATACATAACAATCCCTTATCTCAAAAAGAAAAAAAAAAAAAACAAGCTGGGAGAGGTGGTGCACACCTTTTAATTTCAATACTTGGGGGTCAGAAGCAGGTGGGTCTCAGTGAGTTTGAGGGCAGCCTGGTCTACACAGTGAATTCCAGGCCAGTCACCTGGCTACATAGTGAGACCCTGTCTCAAAAACCATACAGCAACAAAACCAAAACAGCATAGGTTTATAATCTCAGCTACTCCAGAGGTTGAACAGGAGGATGAAGAGTTCAAAGCTAACCTAGGAAATTTAGCGAGATGCTATCTCAAAAGGTAAAGGGCTGACGAGATGGCTTGGGGTAAAAGTGCTTGCTGTACAAGCCTGGTGACCTGAGTTCAATCCCTGGAACCTACATAAAGGTAGGAGAGAACCAACTCCACAAAGTTGTCCTCTGACCTCCACGTGTTCTTTTGTATGAGTACCCACACACATATATCATGTGCATGTACATGCACACACACCACAATAATATTTAAAAAGAAGTGGAAAGAGGGCTATGGATGTAGCTCAGTGATAGAGTGCTTGTGCAACATACACAGGGCCCTAGATTCAAGAACTGTGGTATACATAAAGTGCTTGGACTAGTGCCTGGTACATAAAAGCATAATGTTTTTTTTTTTCCTGTATACTCAAAGCTGGCTTTAAATCCTTTATCCATACGAAGTGTGCTACCAGGCCTATTTGAAATTTCATTGTGTGTGTGTGTGTGACTGAAGATGGAACCAGAGTCTTACACATAGTAGGAAAGTGCTGTACCACTGTGTTACATCTCCAGCCCTAAGAGTTTTCCATTATTAGGATTCATCCTCTCCATAGTCTAAAAGTGTGAGAGTGAAGAAAAAATTTCTACTTTATTTTCTAGCTGATTTTCACTGCTAGATTTATCATTTTATTACCACCCCCTCCTTGCCTAGCCCTGAGCTGTCTTCTCCCTTGATTTGACTAAATCTAGTCACAGGAAGAGCAAGTATAGTCATCCTCAACTACATGGCAAGTTCAAAGCCAGCCTGGACTCCTGAGACAGCAAAACCCAAACCAAACAAACAAGGTACTTGAAAGTTATCAGTGATTTCCATGGAAGTTATTCTTTTTTTAATTTATCTTTATAATTTTATTATTTTTATTTTATGTGTATGCATGTATTGCCTGCATGTAGGTAAGTGCACCTGTGTCATGCGATGCCCTTGGAGGACAGAAGAGGCTGTTGGATCCCCTGGACTGGAGCTATGGACAGTTGTTAGCTGCCATGTGGGTGCTGGGATTTGAACCCAGGACTTCTGCAAGAACAACCAGTGTTCTTAACTGCTGAGCCATCTCTCCAGCCCTGGAAGCTATTCTTTTTAAAAAAAAATTTATTGCATTTTACTTATTTTGTGTGCATCTGTGTGGTCTGTGTATGTGTGCCTACCATGGTACGCATGGTATGCATATAAGTCAGCAGACAACTTGCAGGAGTTGCTTCTCTCTTTCCACCATGTGGGTCACAGAAATTGAAATTAGGTTGTCAGGCCTGGCAGCAGAAATAGTTATCCACTGAACTATCTCAGCAGCCCCCATGGAAACTGATTTTTTAATTTTTTCTTGAGACAGGGTCTCCCTGTAGCCCCAGATGACCTGTAACTCACTATGTAGACCAGGCTGGCCTTGAACTCACAGAGATTCGCCTGCCTCTGCTTCCCAAGTGCTGGGATTAAAGGTGTGTGCCACCATGCCTGGCCTTGGAAACTATTCTTAATCTACCTGCTCATAAGTGTTTAGAAAATCTTTTTGTATGCACACTGGCAGAAATGTGCATGTGTGGGTGTGGATGTGGGTATGGGTGTGCACATACATGAAGGCCAAAGGACAACTCTGGTGTTGGTCCTCAGTCACTACCCACATTGGTTTTTTTTTTTTTTTTTTAATGTGTACGAGTGTTATGCCTACATGTAGGTAAGTGCATCCGTGTTGTGCAATACCAGCAGAGGACAGAAGAGGCTGTCATATCCCTTGGAACTGGAGTTATGGACAGTTGTTAGCTGCCATGGGGGTGCTGGGATTTGAACCTCGGTCTTCTGCAAGAACAGTCAGTGTTCTTAACTACTGAGCTGTCTCTCCAGCCCCTACCTACATTGTTTTTGAGATAGTTTCTCATTGGCCTGAAACTCACCAAGCAGGCTAGGCTGAGTGAGCCATAGGGATCTACCTGTCTCTGCCTCCATGGGCTGAGATCACAAACACATAGTCACACTCGGCTCTTTTAATGTGGATTCTGAAGATTGGATTCATGTCCTCATGTTTGCAAGGCAAACACTTTACCTGCCAGCCACTGGTTTGTTTTTCTAATAATACTTTTTATTTTTTTGAAAATTTTACACATAT